CCATGACTCCTCAGTATGGTCCCTCGTGTTGTGGTGACCCCCAACCATAACAATATTTTTATTGCTACTTCAGAACTGTAATTTTTCTACTGTTATGAATCATAATGTAAATATCTTTCCACCTGCTACTAAGGAGGCTGTCGAGGTCCTGAATCGGTGCCTGGCCGCTGTAACGGTCTGGATGAGGGCGAACAAATTGAAATTGAATCCAGACAAGACAGAGGTACTCCTGGTCAGTCGCAAGGCCGAACAGGGTATAGGGTTACAGCCTGTGCTGGATGGGGTCGCACTCCCCTTGAAGGCGCAGGTTCGCAGCTTGGGTGTGATCCTGGACTCGTTGCTGAGCCTGGAGCCCCAGGTCTCGGCGGTGACCAGGGGAACATTTGCACAGCTTAGGCTTGTGCGCCAGCTGCGCCCGTACCTTGGGAAGTCTGACTTGGCCACGGTAGTCCACGCTCTGGTTACATCCCGTTTAGACTACTGCAGCGCTCTCTACGTGGGGTTGCCCTTGAAGACGGCCCGGAAGCTTAAATTGGTCCAACGTGCGGCAGCCATGGTACTAACAGGAGCGGGACGCAGGAAGCATACAACCCCCTTGCTGTACCAGCTCCACTGGCTGCCGATTTGCTACCGGGCTCAATTCAAGGTGCTGGCGTTGGCCTATAAAGCCCTAAACGGTTCTGGCCCAAGATACCTGTCCGACCGCATCTCGACCTACGAGCCCACCAGGACTTTGAGATCTTCCGAGGAGGCCCTGCTCTCGATCCCGCCTGCTTCACAGGCACGGCTGGCAGGGACGAGAGATAGGGCCTTCTCGGCTGTGGAACACCCTTCCCGTGGACAGAAGACTGGCTCCGTCCCTGATGATATTCCGCAGGAAATTAAAGACTTGGTTGTTCAAGAAGGCGTTCGAACAAGAAGTGCAATGATTGGTAATGACTATAGGATTGGAACAACGGAAATGATACTGGATTGTGGTTTGAACGATGAGACGACGCGGAATGGCTTTCGTAGTAATGATGATGTTTTTGATGATGATGTTTTTGTCTAATGCTGGATGTGGATTTTATATTATGTTTTGAATTTTTGAATTTTGTTCTTTCTATGTTGTACACCGCTGTGAGTTGCCCCCGGGCTGAGAACAGCGGTATATAAGCAAAGTAAATAAATAAATAAATAAATAAATAAATAAATATCTGATATTCAGGATGTATTTTCATTCACTGGACCAATTTGGCACAAATACCCAATACACCCAAATTTGAATACTGATGGGGGGGGGGGGTTTGATTATGTTATTTGGGAGTTGCGTTATGAACCCAAAGAGGTTCCTATTCTTTTGTGTAGAGTGTTCAAGGAATAGTAAGGCGGTTTAGACCAATGGGACACTTTAGAGACCAAATTTGGTTTTAACACTATCCATGTAACATTTATTGAAATACAATTACCACATAATCATATCCAGTGAAGATGATCAGTCTTTTCCAAGGAGGTGCGGACGCTCCGTTGCCGCAGATCAGGAAGTGTGCATGTTCTTGGGGTCCCCTGTATTTATAGGCAAAAATCAATTTTTCTTCTTTTTAATAATCAGGCTGTTCTCATAGAATCAAATCATAGAATCATAGAATGAAACAGTTGGAAGAGATTTCATGGGCCATCCAGTCCAACCCCATTCTGCCAAGAAGCAGGAAAATTGCATTCAAATCACCCCTAACAGATGGCCATCCAGCCTCTGTTTAAAAGCTTCCAAAGAAGGGGCCTCCAGAACACTCCGGGGCAGAAAGTTCCACTGCTGAACGGCTCTCACAGCCAGGAAGTTCTTCCTCATGTTCAGATGGAATCTCCTCTCTTGTAGTTTGAAGCCATTGTTCCGCGTCCTAGTCTCCAGGGCAGCAGAAAACACGCTTGCTCTCTCCTCCCTATGACTTCCTCTCACATATTTATACATGGCTATCATATCTCCTCTCAGCCTTCTCTTCTTCAGGCTAAACATGCCCAGCTCCTTAAGCCGTTCCTCACAGGGCTTGTTCTCCAGACCCTTGATCATTTTAGTCGCCCTCCTCTAGACACATTCTAGCTTGTCAATATCTCTCTTGAATTTTGGTGCCAAGAAATGGACACAATATTCTGTCCCTTTCAAGTTCTTGTTCTTTTCAAGCTCAGGACATCCACATTCCAGGCCACATGACTTATGGGGTACACCTGCACACTCCTTACATGCTTGGTTGCACAACTTATTGTCAGAGCCCCCGGTGGCGCAGTGGGTTAAAGCACTGAGCTGCTGAGTTTGTTGATCGAAAGGTCGCAGGTTCGATTCCGTGGAGCAGCGTGAGCTTCCGCTGTCAGCCCTAGCTTCTGCCAACCTAGCAGTTCGAAAACATGCAAATGTGAGTAGATCAATAAGTCCCGCTCCGGCGGGAAGGTAACGGCGCCCCATGCAGTCATGCCAGCCACATGACCTTGGAGGTGTCTACAGACAATGCTGGCTCTACGGCTTAGAAATGGAGATGAGTACCACACCCCAGAGTCAGACATGACTGGACTTAATGTCAGGGGAAAACCTTTACCTTTACCTTTTGTTCAGCTATGCCTTGCTGCCTCCTCACTTCGACTGCCAAGTCCGACCCATATCATGCCTTGCGAGAACTCCATGTTGTATTTTCCTTCAGGCCTGTTTCTTCTGCTCTTTTATATTCATTCAAACATCCATTCTTTACAGTTGTAGTTGCTGGGATTTATAGTTCACCTACAGTCAAAGAGCATTCTGAACTCCACCAACGATGTAATTAAACCAAACTTGGCACACAGAAATCCCATGAAAAGATGAAGAACACCCCTTCAAATTCTACTTTACGTCAAGTGTTGAAAATCGGGGGATTCACAGTATCTATATAAAAATGTAATGGTCATTTGTGGGATTAACATAAAAACCATTGGACTAATTGCAGCCAAATTTGGCCTCAAAATACCTACTAACCCAAGGAGCGACCATCATTCAAAAAAATTGATTTTGTCATTTGGTAGCTGTAGTTGTTGGGATTAATAGTAAACCTACAATCAAAGAGCATTCTGAACTCCACCAATGATGGAATTGAACCAAACTTGGCACACAGAACTCTCATTACCAACAGAAAGTACTGGAAGAGTTTTGTGGGCATTGACCTTAAGTTTTGGAGTTGTAGTTCACCTACACCCAGAGAGCACCGTGGACTCAAACTATGATGGATCTGGACCAAACTTGGCACAAATACTCTATATGCCCAAATGTGAGCACTGGTAGAGTTTGAGGAAAATAGACATTGATATTTGGGAGTTGTAGTTGCTGGGATTTATAGTTCACCTGGAATCAATGAGCATTCTGAACCCCACCAATTATAGAATTGGATCAAACTTCCCACACAGAATCCCTATGTTCAATAGAAAATACTTTCTGATGGTCTTTGGTGAACCCTCTGATACCCCCACTTGCGACCCCCCCCCCCAGGGGTCCCGAACCCCAGGTTGAGAAACGTTGGAGTAAGCGATGCTCAGTGGGAACTGTAATAACACTATGTAACAGAATTTGAAAAGTTTTCTGTTCCTGGTTTGAAAGTATTATTCCAGTTTAATTGTGCGGTCCTTACTTGGAAAGTAGTTGTTCTACTCCAGAGACATTGTTTTTGTGGCACAAACTATGTTGAATTGGTTGAGATTTGATGAGATATTTGTTGAAAAACTAGAGCAAAATGTGTTATAGCATGATGACGTCCCTGCTGCAACAACAAAGTTTTTGCAGTTTAATATACTTTTCCCATGTTTTTATTATAGAACCAATTAAGAAATGACATTTATAATCCAGGAACAAAAATCATGCTACTTAGTGTAATTAATAATAATAATGGGTTGCTGTGAGTTTTCTGGGCTGTCTAGCAATGTTCCTGAAGCATTCTCTTCTGACGTTTCACCCACATATAGGGTAGGCATCCTCAGAGGTTATGAACTCTGTTGGAAACTAGGAAAATGGGGTTTATTTGTTAGTGGAATAATGTCCAGAGTGGGAGAAAGGGCTCTTATCTGTTTGAGGAAAGTGTGAATGTTGCAATTGGCCACTTTGATTAGCCATGAATGGCCTTGAAGCTTCAAAACCTGGCTGATGGGCGCTAACACCTCCCAACAAAGGATTCCCCTAGGAAGAAAGCAGCCAGGCTTTGAAGCTGCAAGGCTATTCAGTGCTAATCAAGGTGGTCAATTGCAGCATTCACACTTGCCTCAAGCGGATGAGAGCTCTTTCTCCTACCCTGGGAATTCCACAGATATATTATCTCCACTTGTGTAGTTTCCAACAGCGTCTGGGAATGACTACCATAGATGCCGGCAAAATGTCAGGAGAAGATGATTCTGGAACATTCATACAGCCCAGAAAACTCAGTAACTCAGTGATTCCAGCCATGAAAGCTTTCGAAAACACAACAACAACAACAACAACAACAACAACAACAACGTATCTTTTATTTAAGAGACAGTGGCCCTGGTTCAGCTAGAGTTGTTGTTAGGTGTTCAGACATCACAGTGATGGCCCTGCATCCGAACTTGGAAAGGTTGCATTAAGAACTACTCCCAGAATCCTTGACTCAAGCTGGTTGGTGGATTGGATTCTGGTGACTGTCATCTTAATAAAGAGTAATGTCTCTCAGTTCTGCTGCAGATGGGAGGCATACATTCACATTTGAGCTTCCAGGGAATTGCATAGGGCTGGAATGAGAATCATGATTTCAAAGTCCAAAACTCCAGTCCTTCTCAAACTCCAGCTCTCCAGTTGTTTGGGTTTCAAACTCCCAGGATTCCTGACCATTGAACAAACTGTCCATAGGGGCTTCTGGGAGTTGGAGGCCCAAACAACAGGAGGTGAGATCTTTTTTGGAGACATGGCTGCAAAGCTTTGGCTTCTGGAGGCTGAGCCATGAATCCCTGTGTCTGAGACTCAACTTTGGGCAATCCTTTGTTCCTTTCTCTCCCTGCAGTGTGTCCAAGTGGAAGGTACGGGAAGGGCTGCGTGGAGATATGTGTGTGCACCAACAACGGGACCTGTAACCCAATCGACGGCTCCTGCCAATGTTTCCCCGGCTGGATCGGCAAAGACTGTTCCCAAAGTAAGCAGAAAGCTCTCTTCTTCCTCTTCGTTTGCATTGCTGTGTCTGGTTCTTTTAATGCGGAAAGGTTGATCTGTTTTTCCTCCTGCTGCTTGAATGGATAGATCAGGGCTCCTCAAACTTGTTAACCGAGGTCCAGTTCACAGTCCCCCAGAATGTTGGAGGGCTGGACATATATATGTTTGATTTGTAGCGCAATATATATTCTTGTTCATTCATTCAGTCGTTTCCGACTCTTTGTGACCTCATGGACCAGCCCACGCCAGAACTCCCTGTCAGCCATCACACCCCCAGCTACTTCAAAGTCAAGCCAGTCATTTCAAGGATACCATCCATCCATCTTGCCCTTGGTTGGCCCCTCTTCCTTTTTCCTTCCATTTTCCCCAGCATAATTGTCTTCTCTAAGCTTTCCTTTCTTCTCATGATGTGGCCAAAGTACTTCATCTTGGCCTCTACTTTCCTTCCCTCCAATAAGCAGTCAGGCTTTATTTCCTGGAGTATGGACTGGTTGGATCTTCTCGCTGTACAAGGCACTCTCAGAACTTTCCTCCAGCACCACAGTTCAAAAGCATCTCTCTTCCTTCGCTCAGCCTTCCCTAAGGTCCAGCTCTCACATCCGTAGGTGACTATGGCAAATACCATTGCTTTAACTATGCAGATCTTTGTTGCCAGTGTGATGTCTCTACTCTTCACTATTTTGTCGAGATTGGACATTGCTTTCCTCCCAAGAAGTAAGTGTCTCCTGATTTCCAGGCTGCAGTCTGCATCTGCAGTAATCTTTACACCTAGAAATACAAAGTCTGTCACTGCCTCCATGTTTTCTCCCTCTATTTCCCAGTTATCAATCATTCTTGTTGCCATATTCTTGGGTTTTTTAATGTTTAACTGCAACCCAGCTTTTGCACTTTCTTCTTTCACCTTGATTAGAAGGCTCCTCAGCTCCTCCTCGCTTTTGGCCATCAAAGTGGTGTCATCTGCATATCTAAGGTTGTTAATGTTTCTTCCAGCAATTTTCACCCCAGCCTTGCATTCGTCAAGCCCCGCACATCACATGATGTGGTCTGCATACAAGGTTGGGTGAGAGGATACAACCTTGCCGTACGCCTTTTCCAATCTTGAACCAGTCTGTTGTTCCATGGTCAGTTCTTACTGACCATGGAATAATACATAAAATGAAGAACAATTATAACCAGCATAAACTTACCAGTATTTCAATGGGAAGGGTGGGGCTGCTTTTGGTTGATGAGTGAGTCAAGTGTATTAGGATTGTTGTTGTGTGCTTTCAAGCCATTTCAGACTTAGAGCAACCCTCAGTCTAAAGTTTAGTGCAAATTGATGGGGAAGGGGCCTTGGAGGGCTGCATCCGGCCCGCGGGCCATAGTTTGGAGACCTCTGGGAAAGATGGGAACTGTGCTATTATGGTGAATGTGTTAATTTGACTGAGCATAGTCTTTCAAAGATCCCATCAGCCTCATGGTTGCCTTCAAAACTCCAGAGACATCGTTTTTGTTATTAAATCCATGAAGAGAGAATTCGTGAATTCAGAGGGCCAATTATCACTTTTTTTTACATGAACGTCGGTGCTCTTTAGTTTTTACCCAGTTGGTGGCTTTCCAAATGATATTAGACGATGAATCTCACCACTCTTAACTGGGGACAATGGGAATTGCAGTCCAACAGCCCTGGTGACTCTTAAAACATCCTTAAACTTTTGGGGAGAGGTTCAAGGATGTTTTAAAGGCAGGCATCCTATACACAAGGATCTAAATTCAAACCCCTCTCTCCTGACTAAACAGAACAGGTGTGACTGTATCAAAATTCCCATCAGCTCTGCTTATGATGTCTAGTGATGAGGAATACAGGAGTTACGGCCCAGCATCTGGAGGAGTTATCCTGGACCGTGCTGTGACTTACAAGAAGCACTGCTTGATTATCAAGCAATAAGTGGGTGCTAGAAATAATATTATATGAAAGCTGACTGGTACAACCTGGGGATCACAACCAGAGACAGTGAAGGCATCTGCCCTTGTGCTTTGCTACTCTGCAGCTGAATACATACCCAGTGTGGAATACGTCTCACCACGCTAAAACAGTGGATGTGGCTCTTAATGAGACATGCTGCATTATCACAGGATGTCTATGCCCCACATCACTGGAGAGACTATACTGTTTAGCAGGTGTTGTAGCACCTGACATCCATTGGGAAGTAGTAGCCTGCAATTAAAGGACGAAGATATTGACATCTTTGGCCCATCCTCTGTTCAGATATCAGCCAGCATGCCAATGCCTTAAATCAAGAAACAGCTTCCTAAGATGTACAGAGATACTCGCAGGAACACCTCAGCAAGCGAGAGTCCAAAAGTGGCAGGCTAAAACCCGGAGCCTCAATCAGTGGCTGAGACTGGATGAGAGACACAGAAGACTGGGCAACATGGAAGGCACCAAACAGACTGGGCTCTGGCACCACGAGATGCAGAGCCAACCTTAAGAAATGTGGCCTCAAAGTGGAGTCCATGACATGCGAGTGTTGAGGATAGCAAACCACAAACCATCTACTGCAATGCAACCTGAGCCCTGCCACAGGCACAGTTGAGTACCTTCTTACAGTGACACCAGATAACATATGACAATGGGCCATATTTGGCCAGTGGGCCTTGAGTTGATGCATGTGGACTAGTGGTTGTATCCTGGACTAAGATATTAGGAGAGCGGAATTACCCAGTGGAAATCCACTGGGTACTGCTGAGCAAGTCTCACTCTCTCTGCTTCAGAGGAAAGTGATGGTGGCAAAAAAAAAAATCCCCTTCAAGAAATACATCCTTTAGTATTAGCCCTGGCTTCAAATCCCTGACTTTGGACGACTCAGTGGGATACAATGACAGCCCGTTCCGAAGAAACCTTTTCAAGTTTTGCTTTGGGGTTGCCGTAGGTGAGAAATGACTAGGAAACACATTGGTTTGGATGGTTTCACTGCAGAAAAATTAAAGCCAGAGGGAGAGAGAGTGGAAAGTATAATCACACCGTCCTCCTCTCCAAACCAGAAATGGAAAAGAGCGACCAATCGAGCGAGAAGGGATTCATCGGAGGAATCGAGAGTCTAGTCAACACTGATTTCCTGGCTGCGCTCCACAGGAAGCAATCAAAGAAAGTGAAGCCGCAGGCAGGAAACTTTTAATGAACATGGGAAGGGACCTTGGCTGAATGCACACTACGGGAGGAATTTCGTCATTGAAAAGAGCATATGTTTAATAGGATGGGTAATCTTTGTTCTGACTCCACTTCTAGTTGGCTACATCTGGATCTGCAATATTGATATGTAAATATTGCCCTTATTTCAGAGCAGCTCCCAGTTGTGCGAGTGCCGTTCCTCAACAATCCCATTGGTACATTGTTTTGGCACTTGTTTGTGGAATATGATTCCCTTGTGGAGAAGTCCCAGGAATGTTATTCCTTGTATCCACCAATGTCACCACTGGTCGAAAGGTCATGAGATCGAAGCCGGCCCAGGTCAGAGTAAGTTCCCGACCATTTGTCTAGCTTGCTATCGACCTTTGCAGCCTGAAAGACAGTTGCATCTGTCAAGTAGGAAATTTAGGTACTGCTTATTCAGGGAGGCTAATTTAACTAATTTACGATGCCATAAAAATCTCCAGCAGTGGCCAAAAGAATGAGGAAGCACTCCATCCATCAAGGACTTGGTGTCACAAGTGGACCATAAAGCGACAGCTCCCCCGGTGGCTGAAATTCAAGCATACCCTCATAAAGCTTAAATTTATGTATTTATTTGTTTGTTTACACTATTTGTATCCCACCCATATCAGCCCGAAGGCGACTCAGGGCAGCATACAAAGTTGGCATAATTCGATGCCCTGTATAAAATACATACATTGATAAAAATAAAAAAAAGAAACATTACAATACATTTAGAAACATAAAACAATGAATAATAAACATTTTAAAAACTACGTCCTCTCGTTCAAATCCTCAACTGTTCCATCGTCTTGGCCGTTCCTGGGTCATTTTCCGATTCAAGTTTGTCTGTTTATCCCGAGGTTCCGAATGCTTGCTCAAAGAGCCAAGTTTTCACTCTTTTTCAAAAGGTCAGGAGGGAGGGGGCTGATCTAATATCCCTAGCCAGAGAGTTCCACCGCCAAGGGGCTGCCACAGAGAAGGCCCTGTCGCTCGTCCCCGCCAAACGTGCTTGCGAAGCAGGCGGGATCAAGAGCAGGGCCTTCTCTGACGATCTAAATTGCCTCTGTGTTTGTCTATATATGTTGTGTGTCTATGGCAGGGGTTCTCAAACTAAGGCCTAGGAGCCAGATATGGCCCTCCAAGGTCATTTACCCGGCCCTTGCTCAGGGTCAACCTAAGTCTGAAACGATTTGAAAGCACACAACAACAATCCTATCTCATCAGCCAAAAGCAGGACCACACTTCCCATTGAAATACTAATAAATTTATATTTGTTAAAATTGTCCTTCATTATAATTATTGTATTGTTTTATGTGTTTTTTGCATTCCAAATAAGATATGTGCAGTGTGCTTAGGAATTCATTTATGTTTTTTTCAAATTATAATCCGGCCCTCCAACAGTTTGAGGGACTGTGACCTGGCCCTCAGTTTAAAAAGTTTGAAGATCCTTGGTCTCTGGCATTGAATATTTGCCATGTATATGTGCACTGTAATCCGCCCTGAGTCCCCTGCGGGGTGACAAGGGCAGAATATAAATACTGTAAATAAAGAGATGAAGAAATAAACATGTAAATAACCATAAATCAGCTACAAGTAGAAGGCAGAACTGATGAAACAGTCAATCCAATACCAAAATTTTAAGCAGATCCACACTCTGTTCTGTCTATAAACCAGCTTCTTATTTGGGCCTTACCTGGTTGTGTTTATTTTGAAATGCAAACCCAGCAGCACCTGTTCTTATCCTGAAAGGAAGGTCTCTCTTCATCCTTTTCAACACTTCTCTTAAGAAATCATTCAGCCATCGACAGCCCTGCGCTTGCAAGGCCCATATGGCAGGGAAATTAGAGAGATGAGATATTCCTATTACAGGTAATTTACTTGTTAAAGTCTGGAAAGACGTGCCGTGACTTCTCTGGAATTGCTTCGGCAGGAAGATTGACGTTGGTGGATCCAAAAACTGGCATTTCCCAAACGAACCTTTAATTGGAGGCAGATCGTCCCGGGGAAACCCCGGCCCCGTTGTTCGGGAGCGTTGCTTCATATTCACCGCGCGACGAAGGCATTCGACAGGCCTTTTGCAGTAAAATATATTAAAACTCCGGTGATAAAGTAGGGATCGGATAAAAACAGACAGCTGTAATTTTGCTTGCATTGTGCCGCTTCCCAGGGCTGTCGCTCAACACCCGAATCAGGACGGCTGTCAATTTTGCAGGCTGTTCATTATATTTAGAAAGTAATTGGGAAATGACTGCTCATTTTGATTTGATGTGTGCCGACGGTGGGTTGGTGGTTTTGCTTTGGAAGCAACGGTTCCAAACATCTTAACAAGCTGCTGTCCTGGGAAAACCGCTTCTCTACTTCCTTGATATTTCCAGAAGTGTTTTGCTCACCAAAATTTAGAAATATTACCTTTTTGGATTACAGTTTTCACAGTCCCTAAGCCAGTGTGGACACGTCAACATCATCCTCTTCCTCATGATTTGTATTCCCCACTTTTTCTCTGCCAAAGCAACTTTGTATGGATTTTGCATACATGGATTTGTATGCAAAAAAGCACATTTTGCAAACTGTCTCATTACACCATGGAACAAAATTTGAAAAAAATATGTTCCTGGTTTGAAAGAGTCATTTTCTGTTTTATTTATTTACCAGTCGTCCCCTGCCACGCATTGCTGTGGCCCAGTCTGATGATCTGGAAAATAAAGTAATGAGAAAGTGTTGGTTTCTAATATATGTAATTTCTTTCTGCTTGTGGGTCAACAATATTTCTTGCTGTTTCTTTGTCAGTGTTGATGTGGAGATTGTCTGGTTTGCCTACTCTGGAACATGCAACATGTAATTGTCCTTCTTTAGGGGTCCCTTTCAAATCTATCATACTATATCTCTTTGTCTGAATCATATATCTCTATCTATATCTATGGCTGGATGGCTCTTTGTCAGGAGGGCTTTGATTACGTTTTATGGCCTGGTGAAGGGAGTTGGACTGGATGGCTTTAAGTATTTTCTGTTGGTCATGGGGGATCTGTGTGGGAAGTTTGCCCAATTCTGTCATTGGTGGGGTTCAGAATGCTCTTTGATTGCGGGTGAACTATAAATTCCAGTAACTACAACTCCCAAATGTCAAGGTCTATTTCCCCCAAACTCCATCTGTGTTCATATTTGTGCCAAGTTTGATCCAGATCCATCATTGAGACCACAGTGCTCTCTGGATGTAGGTGAATTACAACTCCCAAACTCAAGGTCAATGCCCACCAATCTCTTCTAGTGTTTTCTGCTGGCCATGGGAGTTCTGGGTGCCACGTTTGATTCAATTCCATCATTGGTGGAGTTCAGAATGCTCTTTGATTGTAGATGAACTGTAAATCCCAGCAACTACAACTCCCAAATGACAAAATCAATTTTTGAGTGATGGTCACTCCTTGGGTTAGTAGGTATCTTGTGTCCAAATTTGGTGTCAATTCGTCCAGTGGTTTTTGAGTTCTGTTAATCCCACAAACGAACATTATATTTTTATTTATATAGATTTATCACATTAGGGGCAAACCAAGGGTATAGTTGTAATGTATTTTAAAAATATGAAGTTTTTTTAAAACTTGGCATTATACTAAATACCCTTTGACCAGTAGCTGGCCAATTGGAGTGCCTCTGTTGTTGTTATATGAAGGTTCTCCATTGTGGATGTGATAGGGCTCAGACTGCATTGTAATAGAATCATAGAGCTGGAAGAGAACCTACAACAACATAGTCATGTCTCGTCTCAACTTTGACTTTTGGAGGGTAAACAGACCCAGCTCTTTAAGATGCTCCTTATCCAGTTCTATGGTTGCTGCAAAAACCTATTTGGTTGACTTTCTTCCAGTTTGAAATGTGAAAGATAACCCTATTTCTTTCTCTCCTCCTCTTTCCTTCCTTCCTTCCTTCCTTCCTTCCTTCCTTCCTTCCTTCCTTCCTTCCTTCCTTCTCTGCAGCTTGTCCCATTGGCTTCTGGGGTGCGGATTGCTTCCATTCTTGCAGTTGTCACAACGGTGCTACATGCAGCCCCCATGATGGCGAATGCCGATGCACTCCGGGATGGACCGGCCCCTACTGCACCCAGCGTGAGTTTTGGAACCACAAACTAAAAAAAACAAGGAGGAAGGGATCTCCAGAAAGCATGCACTGCCGCCTTGTGTTAATCATTAGCACTGAAGCTCTTGGAAAAGCATACTATTACCGCTTGGCCCCTGCAGCAAACAAATATGAAAATCCTCAGAAAATGAATCCTTGTTTTATTAAACAGATTAATAAATCAACAGACCCCCATGTGTTGGATTCGAGGAGGTTTCCTTATATATGAGCCTCTCGCTCTTTTGGTGGAGAGGCAGAGTTTGTAAATGAATGTGCTGCATCCTTTTGGCATCCTCCCGAGACAGATGTCAGCAGGGCAAGCTTTCCTTTCAACTACAGGCCGTCACCAAGTTACAAACAAGAGAGGTTTTGTGGGGTTGTTCTTAAGCTGCATTTGTTTGTAAGTCAAAACAGGGACATTTCTGAAGTGTAACTCCAGCCAAATAATACATACACACATAGTACATAGATTGCTCTCACTTCCTGTCATCTTGCCATGTTTTTAACTAGGAGTCACTTGTAAGCCGAATGTCTGTAACTCGGGGACGAGCTGTAATTCCAAAAAGTTGGGTTAGTAGGGTTTTCCCCATACATTTTATGTTTTGAACCTTTTTGCCTGCTGTTCATAATGAAATTATTTTTCATTATAGTATTTTTTTTCTGTGTCAGGATCATAGAATCATAGAGTTGGAAGAGACCTCATGGGCCATCCAGTCCAACCCCCTGCCAAGAAGCAGGAATACTGCATTCAAGGCACCCCTGACAGATGGCCATCCAGCCTCTGTTTAAAAGCTTCCAAAGAAGGAGCCTCCACCACACTCCGGGGCAGAGAGTTCCACTGCTGAACGGCTCTCACAGTCAGGAAGTTCTTCCTCATGTTCAGATGGAATCTCCTCTCTTGTAGTTTGAAACCATTGTTCCATGTCTTAGTCTCCAGGGAAGCAGAAAACAAGCTTGCTCCCTCCTCCCTGTGACTTCCTCTCACATATTTATACATGGCTATCATGTCTGCTCTCAGCCTTCTCTTCTTCAGGCTAAACATGCCCAGTTCTTTAAGCCGCTCCTCATATGGCTTGTTCTCCAGACCCTTGATCATTTTAGTCACCCTCCTCTGGACACATTCCAGCTTGACAATATCTCTTTTCAAATGTGGTGCCCAGGAGTAACTTGAGAAACTGCAAGTTGCTTCTGGTGTGAGAGAATTTTCTGTCTGCAAGGATGTTGCCCAAGGGACACCCGAATGTTTGATGTTTTACCATTCTTGTGGGAGGATGTCCCCTCATGGGGAGCTGGAGCTGACAGACAGGAGCTCAACCCGCTCTCCTTGGATTCAAATCATTGACCTGTCGGCCAGCAGCCCTGCCGGTACAAGGGTTTAACCCATAATAATAATAATAATAATAATAATAATAATAATAATAATACTTTATACCCTGCCACCATCTCCCCAAGGGGACTCGGCTTACATGAGGCCAAGGCCAACAACACATCAGTAAACAACAAAGCAGCAAGCAAATAAAACAGTACAATTAATATAACTCACATATAAGCAATAACACAAAAAATTAAAAACCTTATGGCCGGGCCAGATGTAACAGATTAAAATTTTAAAATAAACACTGGGCATGAACAGAGATAGGATGTTATTGATTTGGATATGTGATATTTTGTATATATGTGAGGCATTGAATTTGCTATTTATTATGTTGTAAACCCGCTTTGAGTCCCCCCCAGGGGTGAGAAAAGCAGTATAGAAATGCAGTTAATAATAATAATAAATAAATATCTAGGCAGAAGGGTTTTAAAGGATAATGTAGGGAGACCAACCCAACGGGTAGTTAAAGTGTTTCTGAGGACATTTTGCAGGAAATTGATCAGAGCAGGGTATTGTTTCCTTTATTCAGGGAAGGCACACTGGAACAACCACGTTTTCAGGCTCCTCCTAAAGACTGCCAATGTGGGGGCTTGTCTGATAACCTTGGGGAGTGAGTTACAGAGTCGGGGGGCCACATTAGAGATGGCCCTCTCCCTCGTCCCCACCAATTGCGCCTGCGAAGGGGGCGGGAGCAAGAGCAGGGCCTCTCCAGGTGATCGAAGAGATCACATGGGTGAAGAAACAGAAATGTGGTCACGTGCCATTGTGCCACCAGTGGCTCCAGCCCTAGTATTTACATTATGACAAAGAATCCTAGAATTGGAAGAGACCCCCAAAGGCCATCCAGTTTAAGCTCATTCTGCTTGGCAGGAAGAAAGGTACCATCCAAGCATTCCCAACAGATGGCCATCCAACCCCTGTTTGGAAACATCCAGCCAGACTCCAAGGCAGCATTGAGCAGCATTAACCACTAGACAGTTCATCCTAATGTTGAGGTAGAATCTCTTCTCTTGTAGTTTGCATCCACTTCTCCGTTGTGTCTTTGGAGCAGCAGAAAACAAACTTTCTCCCTCTTCAATGAGGAATCCTTTGCAATATTGAAACATGGCTAATCTTCTTGTCCTCACCTTCTGTTTTCTCTTCTCTCTGTGCAATCCCTTCCTTTCTAGGATGTCCACCTGCTTTTTATGGGAAAAGCTGTGCCAACGTCTGCCAGTGCCAGAATGGGGCAGACTGCGACCACATCACGGGGCAATGCACTTGCCGGACTGGGTTCACAGGGAAACAGTGTGAGCAAAGTAAGTGACACGTTTCTCTTTAAGGAAATCTCCCTGCCCGACTTCTCACTTCATTTTTCCTTTTTCACTGATAACAACACTATGTAACAAAATTCGAAAAAGTTTCTGTTTCTAGTTTGAAAGTGTTATTACCTATTTAATTGCGCAGTCTTTACTTCAAAAGTAGTTGTTCTACTCCAGAAACTTCATTTTTGAAGTTTGCAATTGGTCAAGACTCAATGATTACATATTCATTGAAAAATATCGGCAAATATGTCTCCCGGAAAAACTAAGTTTTGACACTTTCATAAACTTTTCCCACGTTTTTATGACGGAACCAATTAGGAAAAGACATTTATAATCCAGGAACAAAAATGGTTTTACACAGTGTAACAAAATAAACATAGCAATAACAACAACTACTACTACTACTACAGTTACTCTGCACGTATTTTATTCCAGGGTCCTAACGCCCAAAAACCCAGATGCAAAATAGTCTCAGACCAATAGCCAAGGTAAACAGAAAATCTTTACTGTCTTAACTTTGCAGAGATGAAACAAAACTGGCAATGCAGCACACAAAAATCAGCAGTGCAACATATTTACACAGTCTTTGTAATATGCATCAAATAAAGCATCTTCTAAGCAGCAAATGGGAAATCAAAACAACCTGCAGTAAATAGCTATTTCACCATCAGCATCTCCTGCTGGTACTCCACACTGGTGAAACAGAACTCCAGCAGCAGCCCACCAGAAAACCAGCACCCACCACTATGTATTCAAAAACCTCAAACAGTTATAGCCCCTTGGGCATGACACAAGATTGCTGCTTGACTTACTTAGTCAGCTGAACAAGATAATTACAAACAATAAGGTTTTTCTTATACTTGTGTCCTGCAAGGACTTATCGTAAGAACAACAACCTCTCCCTGGATAGACAGTGGCCCTGGTTGAGCTAGAGTTGTTGGTAGGCGTTCAGACATCACAGTGATGGCCCTGCGTCTGAACTTGGAAAGGTTGTATTAACAACTACTCCCAGAATCCCTGACTCAAGATGGTTAGTGGATTCTGGTTTTTGGGAAATAGAAATCTCCATAACCTTTTGGAAAATGGGGCTTGCCTTTGCCTTCCTCTGAGGCTGATGTGACTTGCACAAGGTCATCTAAAGCAGGCATGGGCAAACTTCAGCCCTCCAGATGTTTTGGCCTTGAACTCCCACAATTCCTAATTGCCTCGGGCTTTTTCCTTTCCCCCCACTCAGCCGCTTAAGACATCAAAACTTGGATACAGCCATTGTGAATACCACAAACATTTAAGACAGATGCACCCTTCCATCCGTAGACATCAAAACTTGGGTCCAACCTGTTGTGAAGACCACAAACTTTTGAGACTGGTGCGTCCTTCCATCAGTAGACATCAAAACTTGAGTTCAACTCATTATGAAGACCACAAACATTTAAAACAGATGCACCCTTCCAACAGTAGACATTAAAACTTGGGTTCAACCCATTGTGAAGACCACAAACTTTTAAGACAGATGCACCCTTCCATCAGTAGACATCAAAACTTTGGTCCAACCTGTTGCGAAGACCATAAACTTTTGAGACAGGTGCATCCTTCCAACAGTAGACATCAATACTTGGGTCCAACCCATTGTGAGGACCCCAAATGTTTAAGATGATGCATTCTTCCATCAGAAGACATCAAAACTTGGGTCCAACCCATTGTGAAGACCCCAAACCTTTAAGACAGATGCACCCTGCCATTAATAAGACATCACAACTTGATTCCAACCCATTGTGAAGACCCCAAACATTTAAGAGAGATGCACCCTTCCATCAGTAGATATCAAAACTTGGGTCTAATCCATTGTTAAAACTCCAAACATAAGACACATGCACCCTTCCATTAATAGACATCACAACTTGGTTTCAACCCATTGTGAAGACCCCAAACATTTAAGAGAGATGCACCCTTCCATTAGTAGACATCAAAACTTGGGTTTAACCCATTGTTACAACCCCAAACATAAGACAGATGCATCCTTCCAAGTCCAAAACACCTGAAGGGCCGAAGTTTGCCCATGCCTGATCTAGAAGGTTTCATCGCCAAGGAGGGACTCGGACCCTGGCCTCCAGAGTCATAGTGCAAGACTCAAACCACCGCGCCATGATGCGACAGAGCTTGCAAATGGCCAAAAAGAACAACGGGACTGGAGGATTTTCCCCGGTGCCTCTCCGCTTGCATACGAGCAGATTTGCCCTGTTCTTCAGAGCCTACTTCTCTGAAATGTGTAAGGAGTGGGTTCCGTTCTCCGAGTCCTCTGTTGAGAAATTGAGTTTGCCTCTCTTTGTCAGAGTCTTCAAGCTTTTTTCTCCATCCCCTTTTTTCCCTTTGAATTGTCCACAGAGTGTCCGCCGGGAACCTTCGGCTACGGTTGCCAGCAGCTGTGCGAATGCATGAACAATGCAACCTGCGACTACGTTACAGGGACTTGTTATTGCAGCCCGGGCTTCAAAGGAATCCGGTGCGACCAAGGTGAGCCCAATTCCATCCCCCTTTCTTTTGAAATGGAGCTTTCAAATGTTTCTTTGTGCTGTCCTTCCCGAAGAGCTGAAAAAGACTTCTGTGGGTGACCTGAATACACTTGCAGGAGGGAAGGAATTGTAGCGACAGGAGAGAGAAAGAAAAGGGATTGGCGATTCCCACAGGTTTGCTGTCTCTTCATCAGAGTTGGAAACATAGGCTTTTCGAAATACAAAATTGGGTTTCGCAGCTTTAGGTTGAGCATCCCTAATTTGGAAATCCAGAATCCAAAACACTCCAAAATCCAACGTTTTCTGCATAGGTGGCTGAAACAGTAATACTTTCATTTTCACAGACTTGGTTTCAAATCCCCAAATTATTTCCAGTGTTGTATGAGACTGCCGCCTTCAAGGCTAATGAAATATAAATTTAGATTTGGATTGGATCTCAACTGCAAGGCATCTCATTATGTACATAGATGAAAATATAAGTATTCTAAAATCTAAACAAAAAGCCTCCCAAATCAAAAGGAGTTTGGATAAGGAATACTTCACTTGTGCCAAAATCTGTCATGATGGAGCAGGTTTATATATATAAAGAAAAAGGCATAGCTTTTCTAGAATAATCACAACAAACCAGAATCTGTTGTAGAATAAGCAGGATGTTTTGGAAAGGCATCTTCTACTCTAGATCAGGCATCCTCAAACTGTGGCCCTCCAGCTATTTGGGCCTCCAACTTCCAGAAGCCCTAATGAGCTTGTTCAGTTGTCAGGAATTCTGGGAGTTGAAGGCCCAAACAGCTGGAGGGCCGCAGTTTGAGGATGCCTGCTCTAGATCCTTCATCAACCAAATGGAACTTAATTCATTCCTTCCTTCTCTCCTTCCTTCCTTCTCTCTTTCCTTCCTTCTCCTTCCTTCTTTCCTTCTCTCCTTCCTTCTCTCTCTCCTTCCTCCCTTCCTGCCTTCCTCTCCTTTCTTCATCCCCCTCCTTCCTTTCCCTCTTCCTTCCTTCCTCCTTTCTCCTCCTTCCTTTCCTTCCTTCCTTTTTCCTTCCTTCCTGTCTCTCCCTCCTTCCCTTCCTTCTCCTTCCTTTCCTTCTTTTCCTCCTTCCCTTCCTTCCTGTCCCTTCTTCCTTTCCTCCTTCTTTCCCTTTCTTCATTTCCTTCTCCTTACTTTCCTTCCGTCCCTCCTTTCTTCATCCCCCTCCTTCCTTTCTTCTTCCCTTCCTTCCTTCCTTCCTTCCTTCCTTCCTTCCTCCTTCCTTCCTTTCTCTCCTTTCTTCTTTTCTTCCTTTCTTCTCCTTCTTTCTTTTTCCTTCCTTCCTTCTCCTTCCTTCCTTCCTTCCTTCCTTCTTCTCTTATCCTTTTCCTTCCTTCCTTCCTTCATCTTTCATTCTCTCCTTCCTTCCTTCCTTCCTTCCTTCCTTCCTTCCTTCCTTCCTTCTTTCTTTCTTTCCTTCCTTCTTTCCTTCCCTCCTTCCCCCTTTCTTTGTATGTGTTTTGTGTTTGTATATATGTATCCTCCCTTCTCCTTTCTTCCTTTCTTCTTCTTCCTTTTCCTTCTTCCCTCTTTCCCTTCTCTTTCTTCTCTCCTTCCTCCCTTCTTCCTTCCTTCCTTCCTTCCTTCCTTCCTTCCTTCCTTCCTTCCTTCCTTCCTTCCTTCCTTCCTTCCTTGTGTGTATATGTCTCTAACAAGACTTTGGTTGCATGGAGCCATCTCCATTCATTTCAACAGATAGGGCTGGTCTATATAAGAGGGCTTTGGGTGGAAATTTCAATAAGGCAAGTGATGGCAATTCTATTGCCATCTAGATAATGATGATGGTGATGATATTTTGGGATGGCACCTCCCATCATCCCTGGTCAATTCAGGCAAGGCATTGGAAGTTGCCATCTCCACAGTATGTAGAGGGCCCCACAATTCCCGGCCCTGTTCTCATTGAAATGAATGGGAAAGGCCTTTGCATGTGCCAAGCCCCACTTTGCTGAGAAACGATGCAGCCAAAAGGCTTAGACTGGCAAGTCTTTCCTATGAAGTATCTACAGCCTTTCACAAGAGTGCAAACGGGGAAAGGAGGGAGGGAGGGAGGGCGGGGAAGAGCTCTATAACACAAAGCCCCCTTTTTCTCCAGCAGAATGGCCCAAGGCTACCACTCAATTTTAACGGCACATTGTGAATTATTTTTAACAGCGGCTCTCATGATGGAAGAATTAAACCCCTATACTAAAATTAGTCCGGCTCTTGGATCCGAGCGGCATTCAGTGGGAGCAATCATTGGGATTATTATCCTCCTGCTAATTATTATGGTTTTGCTGGCACTGTTTGTGTGGTATCGGCGGAAACAGAAGAAAGGCCACGACATGCCAAGCGTCTCGTACACTCCAGCCATGCGGATGACAAACACCGATTACTCCCTCTCCGGTAAGAGGCTCTTTGGGACAATGAAATACTGAACTCCTCCATGGGGTGGTGGGAGGGGAACCAATGGCCTTTTCTCTCCAAAGTGCAGGTCCCCATGCCCTTCTTCCCAGTAAGCGCCTTTCTTGTTACAGGACAGCGCTAGAAATGCCAATCCTCAATCTAAAATAGCCACAAATACAAGAGAGTCAGCAACATGAGTCTTTTGTTTGGACCCTAAGCGATCTGATGTGGGGGACTTCCAATTATCTTCTTCCCAATGTGCCAGAGATTGGGTGCCATATTTGTGCCCATTGGCTTCCTTTCCCTCCCTCCCTTCCTTCCTTCCTTCCTTCCTTCCTTCCTTCCTTCCTTCCTTCCTTCCTTCCTTTCCTCCCTCCCTTCCTTCCTTCCTTCCTTCCTTCTCTCATTTCTTCCTTCTTACCTTCTCTCCTTCCTTCTTCTCTTCTTCCTTTCCTTCTCTCTCCCTCCCTCCCTTCCTTCTCCTCCTTCTCTCCTTCCTTCCCTCCTTCCTTCCTTTCCTCCTTTCCTTCCTTCCTTTTCCTCCTCCTTCTTCTCTCTTTCTTCTTCCTCTCTCCTTCCTCTTCTCTCCTTCCTTTCTCTCTCTCCCTTCCTTCCTTCCTTCCTTCCTTCTTCCTTCCTTCTTCCTTCCTTATTCTTTCCTTCCTTCCTTCCTTCTTTCCTTCCTTCCTTCCCTTCTTCCTTCCTTCCTTCCTTATTTCTTTCCTTCTTCATTCCTTCTCTCTTTTCCTTCCTTCCTTTCTTCCTTCCTTCCTTCTTCTCTTTCCCCTTCTTCCTTCCTCTCCTTCCTTCTTCCTTCCCTTCCTTCCCTTCCTTCCTTTCCTTTCTTCCTTCTCTTTCCTCCTTCCTTCTTTCCTTCCTCCTTCCTTCCTTCCTTCCTTCCTTCCTTCCTTCCTTTCCTTCCTTCTTCCTTCTTCCTTCCTTCTCCTTCTCTTCCTTCCTTATTTCTTTCCTTCCTTCCTTCTTTCCTTCTCTCCTTTCTTTTTTCCTTCCTTCTTTTCCTTCCTTCCTTCTTTCTCTCCTTCCTTCCTTCCTTCCTTCTCTCCTTCCTTCATTGCTACTTTGTCAGGGACTGGCAGCCAACAGCAGTCAATGGACATTCACTTTGAGAAGCCATTTTGTAGACGATGTGTTCATGGAAGTCCATAGACATTCACACTGGAAGCCAAAAGGCCCACATCTGATTGGGTCATCCCAACTAGAGGCAAGCCATGTGTTGGGCGGCAAGTCAATGGAAGTAAAGGCCAAAACCGAACCTGGAGATTTCAGGGCCAGATCTAGGGGTGACCCCTAGCAATGTTGGTGGTGTCAAACAAAGCACCCTCCAAGTCTTACAAACAAGGGAAATATGTGTCAATCAAGGGAAGTAGGTGTTTTCCCATTGCAGTGCTCTCACCCAGAGATTCCTCCCCATTGCCCTGCAGACTGGAAAAGACAGCGGACTGGCTTGGGGTGCAAAAATGCCTTACGATCTGGGAAACCTAGTCAATGTGCAGGCAACTTCAGTTGATTCAATAGATATAGTCTAGTTTGGATTAATAGTAGGATTCGGGCCATACAGTGGTGGAGGTATGCATCCCTTGATATAGCAAGAGATCTATATATACATACAATTGCACACACATACATACAGGCATAATGCTGTGCAGGTCTCTGGTATTCAATCAGCTGAGGGCCAGTTTCCCACCTTCTGGAGATGATGGGGTTCACGCTGAGCCCCCCCCCCCCCAAATAGATAGATGGAAAAGGTGATGAACATGTATTTTCCAACAGCAAAGAAGGTGCCAAAATCCCAACAAAGTGGTCAGTTGAATCTCCTGAGATTAGAAGCTCCTGCCTTTAATGTCCTCTTATAGACTTGGCCGACATTCAGGCCTTGCGTTCCCTCATTCCCCTTAATGTTTATTGTGGCATGAGCCTGCTTTCGAGAAATTGCTTTTCTCACTGGGAAAGGCATTTAATTTTGCCGTCAACTGGGGCCAACCAGGCCTGCTAGAACATTTGTCTTTACTTCTTGCCAAAGTAAATCTTCCATTATTGTTTCCCAAGCCGAACCGCGTCAGTGAAAAGGGGACCCTGGGCTCACAGCGGGAGCCATGCATGCAAAGGGAACACGTCCAATTGCTTATGGTTTTCGTACCAACTGCCAATTTGTCTTGAGAGGTGCGCAAAAGTCATGGTGACATTCACATTCTGATACGGAAGGAGAGATGCGGTGGCAGATTTCCAAACCAAATAATCGTTGCCACCTGGCAAAACCTCTCATTAGGGCAAGGTGGGAAAGGGGAGGGAGCCTTGGATGTATATACTTGTGTGTGTGTGTGTATCTCACAAGAACCTAAAACTGTGCAATGCCCTCTTTCCCCAAAAGTAAGACAAGGTCTTATATTAATTTTTGCTCCAAATTATGTGTTAGGGGTTATTTTCAGGGAATGTCTTATTTTTCCCCAAATACACATTTTTATGAACTTATTTTTGAATAGGGCTTATATTTCGAGCATCCTCAAAAATCATGTTAGGGCTTATTTTCAAGGTAGGGCTTATTTTCAAGGTAGGGCTTATTTTCTATAGGGAGACATAATACTGTTTGTGCAACAGCATGGTCCTAGTTGGTGATTGTTTCTGAACGCTCTGAGAATGTCCTACGGGGCATCTTTGTGAACAGGAACAGGATCACCTTGAAGACACTGGCCCTCGCAGCCCAGTGACCCCAAGGTGAATCTATTCTGTATTGAAACCCACTTTTGGTGGAGCTGAACCTCTTTGGAGGGTAGGGCTCAGTATCTTGAACAACTTCTATGAAATTCCAATGAATTCCTAGCATGGATTCAGTGTCAAACTGACATGGAAGCCACCATCCGACCCCATTGATTGATGTTTGAGGAGGAGACATCATGCTGATGTTCTTTCTCCATGGTGGAGGACCTTTTCTACTATGTCCCCACCACTGTTCTGTTGTATTATGGATGATTTTAATGGGGTGGGATCCAGATTTAGGCATGGGCTACCTAAATCTGGATCTCTAATACCTGGGGGTGGTGGTGAGGGGACCCCAAATGTAAGATGGATGCAACCTTCCATTAGTAGACATCCAAACTTGGGCCTAATCCATCGTGAACACCCCAAACTTAAGACAGTTGCACCCTTCGATCAGTAGACATCAAAACTTGGATCCAACCCATGGTAAAGACCACAAACTTATGACAGATGCACCTTTCTATCAGTAGACATTCAAACCTGAGTCCAACCCATCATGAAGACCCCAAACATTTAAAACAGATGCATCCATCCATCAGTAGACATCCAAACTTGGGTCCAACCAATTGTGAAGACCCCAAACTTAAGATAGATGCATCTTTCTGTTAGTAGACATCCAAACTTGGATCCAACCAATTGATAAGATTTTTAGATGGATGGACTCTTCCATTCGTAGACATCAAGACTTGTGCCCAACCCAAGCTTAAGTCATATGCATCCTTCCATTAGTGGACATCAAAACTTGGATCTAACCCATTGTGATGGCCCTAAACCTTTAAGACAGGTGTGCCCTTTCATTAGTAGTCATCAAAACTTGGGTCCAACACATTGGGGATTTTTTTGTTGTTTTATTCCATGAATTCTTTGGAATTCATATATGTGTGTGTGTGTGCATATAGGAGTGATATGTTCTAAAAGTAGATGAGGTGAACTGAAATGGGGTTAGACTAGTCTGGACTTGGCAGCATTAGGCCATAACCTGGTTCAGTTGGTTACAAAGATGCCCATTTCACCAGAAAAGAACAGAGAGAGTATGACTTCCCCAAGTGCCCCAAATGAAGTGCAGTGGAGATACAATGTAAACCTTTCTCCGGAAACTCCTTTGGCAACTGGAGAGAACTGGGTTCAGGTCTCAGCATCTCTTTGGAGCCATAGAAAAGAGAGGCTTCTGGGCATTTAGTGCTGGTGACACTGGTTTTGCATCATGAATCTGTTTGGGATGGAAGTCAAGGCATGGATTAGTCGAACTAGGCGATATTTAGCAGACAACGGGCCTATGGATGAGAAGGCATTATTTGCAAAAGAAGCATTTCTTGCCATGCCAGAATAGACCTGTTGAGCCTCTCACATTAACTCCCAAGTGTCTTTGTTTGAAAGGGATCCCTTTGTTTGTTCCAAGGCTGCCTTTCTCACATTTTCCACCCCATCTTCGCCATCACACATTGATCTTCATCCATAGCAGAGGGCACTTGGTTGGCAGAGTGTTCTTTCTCATCAAGAGGCAAACACCAAAACATTGCTGGTGAGTTGAATCCAGAAGTCAACTATCTGTTGACAAAAGACGCGTTCCCATGCACCGGCAACTGTATCAGTTCAGCCGCTTGCCATTTTGTTTCTCTAATGATAAAACAAACAAAAAAAACCCCTCCAGGCTTTAATTAACACAGGGCAAGAACGAGTGTGCTTCGTTTACGTGGCCTTGGTTCCAAACCTCTCTTGTTGTTCTTTCCAAACGTATCAGCCTGTTAATAAATCTGCAAGTGGCAGCTTAATTAGTAAAGTGGGGTCATTTTAATCTGTGAGCTATTGTTTTGATCTTCACGATCTGCTTGTTGAAATGGGTGCAATGTAAAGATCCTGCAGATTTATGGCAGGGTTCAGAATAGGGATTCATAATCACTGTGTTCAAATATTGGAAAGGCTGTCATAAGGAAGAGGGAGCAAGGCTTGTATTCTGCTGCTCTGTAGACAAGGACTCAATGGAGCCATGGGTTCAAATTAAAGGAAAGGAGATTCCACCTCAGCTTGTTTGATCCAAAAAAAAAATGGTTCAAAACTCGTTTCGGATGTAGAGGGTGCTGGTGGTTCAATTCGGAAGTCAATTCCGATTTTCACAGAAAAAAATATTCAAAACTTTTCTAAACTTTCGAGATTTCCGAATCCTTCCTTAATGGTTTGACAGTGTTATTTCCTGTTTCATTTGGTGGTCTTTACTTTGAAAGTAGTTGTTTTACTCCAGAAGTGGGGGGGGGGAGAGCAAATCCATCCAGTCTGGTTTAAAACACTTCCCAGGCTTGAGACCAGAAGCGAGGGGAGAGGAAAGGCAGGAAATCCATCCAGTCTGGTTTAAAACGCTTCCCAGGCTTGAGACCAGAAGCGAGAGGAGAGGAAAGGCAGGAAATCCATCCAGTCTGGTTTAAAATGCTTCCCAGGCTTGAGACCAGAAGCGAGGGGAGAGGAAAGGCAGGAAATCCATCCAGTCTGGTTTAAAATGCTTCCCAGGCTTGAGACCAGAAGCGAGGGGAGAGGAAAGGCAGGAAATCCATCCAGTCTGGTTTAATATGCTTCCCAGGCTTGAGACCAGAAGCGAGGGGGAGAGGAAAGGCAGGAAATCCATCCAGTCTGGTTTTAAACGCTTCCCAGGCTTGAGACCAGAAGCGAGAGGAGAGGAAAGGCAGGAAATCCATCCAGTCTGGTTTAATGCTTCCCAGGCTTGAGACCAGAAGCGAGGGGAGAGGAAAGGCAGGAAATCCATCCAGTCTGGTTTAAAACGCTTCCCAGGCTTGAGACCAGAAGCGAGGGGAGAGGAAAGGCAGGAAATCCATCCAGTCTGGTTTAAAATGCTTCCCAGGCTCGAGACCAGAAGCGAGGGGAGAGGAAAGGCAGGAAATCCATCCAGTCTGGTTTAAAACGCTTCCCAGGCTTGAGACCAGAAGCGAGGGGAGAGGAAAGGCAGGAAATCCATCCAGTCTGGTTTAATATGCTTCCCAGGCTTGAGACCAGAAGTGAGGGGATAGGAAAGGCAGGAAATCCATCCAGTCTGGTTTAATATGCTTCCCAGGCTTGAGACCAGAAGCGAGGGGAGAGGAAAGGCAGGAAATCCATCCAGTCTGCTTTAAAAATTTTCCCGGGCTTGAGACCAGAAGCGAGGTGAGAAAAAAGGCAGGAAATCCATCCAGTCTGGTTTAAAACGCTTCCCAGGCTTGAGACCAGAAGTGGGGAAAAGCTGAATAATTTCTGACTCACTTACTGCTTCGTAACAGAAATGGCAGAAAAAGCTTTGGAAGGGCAAAGGGACTTCTGGTTTCCTTAAAAACTTCAAAATCGCTTCAAAGAGCAAATATTTCCGAATTTATTCCAAATTACAAAGATTCTGACTGAACCTAACCTTGCCTAATTCCACCTGACATTGGGAAAAACTTCCTTTCCACAAGAAGAGCTCTTCAACAGTGGAACTCATTGCCTCGGAGTCTGGTGGAAGCCCCTTTCTTTGGGACTTTGAATCAGAGGCTGGATGGTGCTTTGATTGTGCTTGTCCTGCCTAG